CCTGAGTGGTTGACGGTGAGTATTCTACCGCAGTGCCACCGACACACTATGTGACACATACTGCAATCCTGTTTCTAATTCACCAGTGAAAACAATTTCTTACGACTACTAAGAATCTGTCATAAAGGAAACTGTCATTGAATACCAATCAGGGTGAATAGGCTTAGCAAACATCTGGTTGCATCACTCCTAAATGAACTATTTGCTGACGGTAGCATAATTAGCATAGAAGGCTATTTGGATATTCCTCAACTTGTATTATCTTTAGGCTCAGTAAAAAGTGTCCATGCCCAGTAAAGTGGATTGCGTACTACACTACAATTTCCTTTATCATACTTAACAGTTAGAAGATACGGTTACCAAAATGAGAGGATATAATTTATTTTTTATTCCCTTACGTTCCCAGTGGAACACAGAGGCCTTCAAACTAGAGTTTAGAATTTTATCATGAGCTGACATTGGTTAGAGAACCATTGGAAAACCTGGGAGTACTGGAGAGCTGTTTCGTCCTAGTTTGGGACTCTTCATCAGTACGCACCCACCGACAGGGTTCGAACCGAGGGCCTTCTGCTTACAAGGCTAGCGAGCTCACAGACCATTAAGCCACTGGAACTCGATCCAATGGCCCATGAATTCTAACTTCTGCTAATTCACGATATAGCACAACCGCTAGCCAATGTCTTCTCCGAGTATTTGTCCTCACACCCCGGTGGGCACGTACTGATGAAGAGTCCCAAACTAGGACGAAACAGCTGTCCATTACTTCTTGCAGGTTTTCCAATGGTTCTCTAATCGATGTCAGCTCATGATGAAATCCTGTAACCAATCAACCAAATCCCTACAAACCAATACTTGAATAGAGTTTAGAAGTTTCAGTCCCAGTGGTGTTTATTTTTACCGGATGAGGTTGCTAGCCTCATGCCCGAACTTCCCTAGGCTTAGCGTCGGCCGTAGATCGACCCCCAAACCTTGTGTGGCGTGGTTGGCGAGCATTCCTACTGTTGTACCACAGACGCATGATATGAGAGGATACAAGAAGGCTAAATGTCTTTGACTGTAGGTGCTGGGTGTCCAATTCTCATTTTATTGCAACAAGATCATTTGTTATGTGTGTGGAAAGTAAACCGATCAATCATTTTTGTGGACACTAATCCATGAAGTCGATGAATATTAGTCAGGAATACGTAGGATGGTTTCGAATGATTCCTAGGATTCTCAGTCTACTAAAAATCGTCATTTGAAGACTATAGTTGCCACTGCTCACTCACCTCTTATCTATAGACATTTATGTTTTCCATTAAATCACTCTTCATTGATTGTTGTAGAATTGCGCATCTGTTTCTATCGAAATGTAACCAACTGAAGTCATGGACACGTGAACAAAGTTCTATATTCATTCATCAATTGATTATTTTCAGTATTGATTTCGTCTCCGAATAACTCCGGTTAGAGAACCGCTGGAAACCAAGGAGTACTGGACAGCAGTTTCGTCCTAATCTGGGTCTCTTCATCGATGCGCATTTACAACCCCACCGAGGGTCGAAACTGGGACCTATAGATTACGAGGTCAAACTCACTGACTACCAAGTCACTTAGGCTAGAATTTAATGACCCGTGAATTTTAACCAGTGTCGCCCATTTTTCATATATCATTATGCCCAACTAATTCCGTGACCCCATGGTGTACCTCACCGTATATGACTTCTCTGTACAACTTAAGGAAATCTATCCACAGTAGCCATCAGTGAGCTGGAGATTGTAGTTTGATTGCCAGCCGACATCAGTTAGAGAGTCAAAGATTAAGACGAAACAGCCATCTAGTGCTTCTTCCTTTTCAATGATCTCACACTAACTGATGTTGATTCATGACGAAATCTTAATTGTGATTAATTCAAATCCTGCCTTATAAAAACCCACAGTGGCATGTACTACTGATAAATCTTATCAGTAGTATGTAGAGAAACGTTCATCGGCATAAAAACATCTAATAGCAGGGAGATAGATTTGATTTTAGAGAAAGCAAATGATACAGTGTTGTGGAAATACATGGGAGACGTAAAAGGAATACAAAGAAACACAATATGAAGGAAGGGAAGAAGTTCCACAACATGAAAAATCGGTGGAAATGGTGAGGTGAAGATAAGGTGTATATAATTTGGCTATAAAGAGATATTTTCTATAGTTTGATTTGTAAGGGTTAGTTATGTTTTTACGAGTTGATCACTGATTGATGTCAGTTAGAGAAGCATTGAAAATCAGCACTGGAGTACTGGACAGCTGTTTCATCCTAGTTTTACAATCATCGGCAGTACGCACCCATTGGGATTCGAACCCAGGACCTTCCGGTTACAAATAAAGCTCGTATACCCTTACAAACCAAACTATAGAATATTAATCTGATGCTCGCTAGTGACTTGCTACAGGATGGAGTTTCCTGGAGTTCTAGTGGGAAATCGTGACCAGTGAGGTTTAATTAGATGTCACGTGTGTGGATGGTTGGGGTCGCGCTAAATCACGAACTGGTAGAAGTTAGAATTCATAGACTGGCCATTGAATCGGGTCCCGGTGGCTGAATCACATACGAGATTGCCTTGTAACCGGAAGGTCCTGGGTTTGAACCCCGTAGTGTGGGTGCGTACTGCCGATGATTCCCAAACTAGGATGAAACAGCTGGCTGTCCAGTACTCCAGTGCTGGTTTTCAATGGTTCTCTAACTGACATCAATCCGTGATCAACTCGTGAAAAATATAGGGAGACACCAATTAGCGAATGAACATTGCTTTACCAAATCTTTCGTTGTCAACCGTTACGCTATCATCTAAATTTAGTTATTTTGTTAATTTGTTCAATAAATTATTCAATGTGTTGTTTAAATACCTATTATTATATTTCGGAAGTTGCGATTTGCGCACAATTTGAATTGAAGAACAACAAAAAATATTAAGTAAGTTTCATGGCTGAAAAATGTTTTATTAATTATTATTATTATTATTGATAAAGTTTTGGTGAACTTTTAAGGTTATTTGAAAAAATCGTTGGCTTACTTCATTCATACACTAATGTAAACTGATGTAAAATATGCAACCTGAATACAGGAATATTTTCTGATTAGACGTTAAAGTTTAGTGTTGTTAAGACTGCTGAAACATCAACACGCTAACACACACACACACACACACACACGAGGAAAGGTCAACTATCCGTGAAGTTATTTTTTGACAGGAAACATCATCAAAGAACACTAACAAGTCCCGAATTGGCTATTTTTTCATTTCAGTTAACCCCCTCCCCCACCCTCCAGTTACTAGTAGACATTACTTAAGGATGCGATTAAGAATCATCAATTAATGGGTCAATATGAATAACTGTGGTAATTTCTCAACTTTAGAGTTATCCAGTCTTAGTAGAAGGGGATCGGTTGGTGTGGAATCGTGGTGAGAACAAACCAGCTTGAATTCTATGCAAACCAACTAATCAAAACAGCATAACCCTTAACTTGACTAAATGGTAACTCTTAGCACAAAGAACAAAGAAAGGAAGATGAAATTTGCAGAAAATGATTTCATCATTCTATTTCACAGTTTGTCATCAGCTACCATTGACTCCCTGAAATTGCAGCGTTAAAGTATGTTATTATCTCATCTAGATAACCATTGTAACTCCAATGCTTTTTGAATTCTAACCAGTGGATCGGGTCCCAATGGCTAGATGGTCTATGAGCTCGCCTTGTAACCAGAAGGTCCTGGGTTTGAGCATTGGTGGTAGGTGCGTACTGATGAAGAGTCCCAAACTAGGCTGACAAAACAGCTGTCCCAGGTATTTCAGTGATTCTGTAACTGATGTCAGCTCATGACGAAATCCTCTTCCAACTAATCAAACAAAATCTCTACAAAACCAATACTTGTAAATCCTTATCAGTTGTTAAATGGGGTAATTGGGTCAACCGACAGAAATGACTAAACATAGGTGCCAATAGATTTGAGCCATACAGTCCAAATCTCTAGAAGATTTGGACTTTGAAGACGATATACATCTGGTGTCAGTTGCAAACACTCAAAGATCTATGAGCGAAAATCAACAAGTTGACAGAATACGCAAGGTACTGAAGACAGGACTTCAAATAAACGCAGAGAGGACCTGAGAAGATGAGGATAACTTATCAACAAAATCAACAAAAACAACACCAAAAAATATACAACACTTTATTGAAGAGAGAAATACGAAGGAGGTCACCTCTTTCACCCAGCAAGACAATATCGTTTCAACTGTAGATAGCACAGGTGAAGATATCAAAGCCAGTCCGGATCGAAAAGTCAAGACACACCTTCATCACTCTAAAAGTCAGTTTGAAAATCTGCTCCATTCCGCAGTATAAAGAACAAAATTCGGATTTTCAACACCAATGTAAAGTCATCAGTCAGTTCTTCTATACGGGTCAGAAACTTGGCGAGCGCATCAGAAAACCATTTCCAACTGGCTACAGACCTTTATCATTAGCTGTTCTCGTTGGCTCCATAGGGAAGATCATATGGTTGGCCATAAATAATAAGCAAGCAGGAATTCCGCCAAGGAACTAACCAAGAATCTGTTAAACCCAAAAAATATTCAGAAGGTAATGAAAAATGGATAGGATACATGTTGAGAAGACCCTTGAGTGGAACCAAAATGGGAAAAAACGAGTTGAGCGTGGGTTCAGTGCAGAAATGGTGACATGGAGGAGATCATATGAGGAGGCGGAAAATGAAAGCTTATGCAGAGAATAGGACGAAATGGAGATGCGCTGTTGAAACCCCATGTTCCACATGGAACTCAGTCTTTCTGGGGGATATAAATGTTCTATCGCACTACTGAATAATGCCAGGCTGAGGCTGTGACTGACACTATTATGGAACCAACTAATTCACCTTGAAACTTCATCAGTGTATAACCCAAATAATGCAAAAAACACAGAGCATACATAGACACTGATCAAAGATGACAACGCAAAAAACATTACTCACCAGAAGCCGCTTTTATTCCAATCGATTTTTCAAAACTACCCGCCTTCAATTGGCATAAATTACTTGACTTTTGTGTATAACTAATTCCAACTGGAGCACTTTTATGCTCAGATAATGAATGTTGATCTTGTTGTTGTTGTTGTTGGTCGTCAGTACTGTCTGTTGTTTTTGTATAGGATATATCATGACCAGAATTAATCGATTGTTTATTCAGTGAAGTAGGTGATCCTGGTATTGTCAATACACCTCCTGGTGATGATGATGATGATGTTAGAGAAGCTTTTTGTAGGGATTGATGACTACTCCGTGTTATAGACGGGCTGTTACTACTATTACTATTCCTGATAGTCTTGCTTTTATCGACTCCAATTTGATTATCACTCGCGGGATATTGTTGTTTTTGCTTTTGTATTGATTTTTGATTGCTTTTAAAGCTGCTAATTGGATTATTTGCTCGTGGAATCGATTGACGAATATTGATTTGTTGCTGTTGTTGTTGTTGTGTTGATGGATGGGGTTTAATATTATTACCAGTAGAATTCAATGAAGACGTCGGTGAAGACGGTGAACAGTTGAAGGATGTAGATGAAGGGAATCTTAACGATGCAACACTAGAAATAATAATAATAAAATACAAATCAACTGTTCAGAGTTAACAATGTCTACAATTTGACAGTTTATAATATTTTTGACTGATGACAATATATTCCCATTATTAGAAGTTATATTGAGACGATGATGATTATTATTATAATACAATACTAATAGACCCTGTGGGCGTGTCAGTCGCCTAACTTGTATAAATATACCCAAAAACGAGTATGATATTGATCAATAGGACATGCTGAATTTTTATTGGTTAATTGTTTCCTGCTTTATTCTGATTGGTTGATGATAGTTGTAATTGTAGACGAGATAAACGAAAACAAAAAAAATCATTGTCTACTCTAATAAACTAACTAGATGAACAGAAAGTTAGTTAGTCATTAAGGATGAGTCTTATTGACTGATCATTTGAACTGAACAAGGTTTCTCCAATAATTCTTTTTCGGTGACTTTAAACTACAGTAGCCCAAAATGAAACGATCTCTACCGACCAATCAGATTCGTAGGAAGAAGTGCGTAATTTGAAATTAGCGTCTACATACAAGTAATGCAATGTTTCAAAAAAATGGTTACATAGGATAGTATACCCTTGTATATGTTCCGAAAAAACCTCCCAATTTCTCACAGGAGTCCTCATAATAAGGTTAAAACGATTTCTGTACATAAATTCGTCAAGGTCATCAATCCGTTCATTAGGTAGTTACGTTTCGAGCTGCTCTAGATTATAGTCACCCCTTTTCTTCTGTTTCTTTAGAATTCCGAGGCTATTAGGTTTTACGATGTTACCTATCTATGCTTTTAGAAAAAGCAACAGATTGAGCGAAGAAATATGCACTCCATTTTAGTTAGTTCTTCATCATCAGTTTGACACTAGTATATAGTATTTTACATAAAAACACCACATTCAGCGAAGAGACTAATTTCAACAACGAATTTATTATCGAGCTGTACAATCGTATATATATATATAGTTTTATATTAAGAAATCATATGCAGTGAGGGAATTAGGTCAAAGGTGTGAATACATGAAACAGTAATAATAGTATGGAATGCAATTGAAATATTTGTGATTATAATCATAGTTTAATGTCAAGTGGCAAAATAATTAATGTCATATATAGAATAATGGATAAGGTGTATAGATTTTGGAAAGGGGTACATAATTATAGGATTAGTAGGCGAATATAAAATGTTACATAACATGGTGTGAAATTTGATAAGATAGAATTCATTATTGTAAAAATAAAAAATATAAAAATAAATAACTTTGGATTTAAAGTGACAAGTGGGACAAGTGGAAACAATTCAGAGTGAGAATAGTAATTATAATAATCGTAGTAATAAGGGAAAAGTACATGGAATAACTAAATAAACAAAAGAAATAAATGTCTATCCCTCTACGGCCAAGGCATAAGTAGGGATTGTACTGTAACAACAGAAGACGAGGGCCAGGCAACAGATCGTTTATTAAGGGAATCAACACATATTTATAGCTTTTCATGTACATTATTGTAGATTATTGTTAGTAGAAAATACAGTCTTTTGATTGGTTGTTTCTCACAGAAAGTTAACGTTGCATCTCTCTGTGGCTGTGTCAGATCATCCATATGCTAACTGTATCCGCCTACGCAAAGCCTTTGTTCTTATTTTCTCACCAACAATATTGGGGACATAAACATTGACGTCAATTACTGTCTACCAACTTTGGCTAGCAGCCAGCTCTCACCACAGTACATACTTCTTTTGTACACAAAGGTCTGGTTGGCTTAAATTCATGAATTGCCAAGGCCTCAGCTGTCTTTAGAAGTCTGTAACGAAGAAAACGTGGCTGGCAAGTTAGCATGGATTCGGTAGATGATCTTAAAACATGGTCAGGGTTGACAGAGTGACAGGAGTCGATCAGGTGTTCCAGAATAGAACTCCGCACACACTTCCTTTCTCCCTTGTAAAACCATGCTGGAATATTTTCTCGTATCCGTGTGGAAAGCGTCCTCTGACTACGGCCAATGTACCTTGTTCCACAAGAGCAGGTGAACTGATAGATGCATATGGAGGCGGCCAGACGGGGAGCTTATCTTTTACAGAGGTAGAGAACAACTTGCGGCTAGTGAACGTCATATGTAATTACAATATTGAATTCTATCTTATCAAATTTCACACCATGTTATGTAACATTTTATATTCGCCTACTAATCCTATAATTATGTACCCCTTTCCAAAATCTATACACCTTATGTATTATTCTATATATGACATTAATTATTTTGCCACTTGACATTTAACTATGATTATAATGACAAACATTTTAATTGCGTTTCATACTATTATTATTATTTCATATATTCACACCTTTGACCTAATTCCCTCACCGGATATAATTTCTTAAAAACCATATTGATATACGATTGTACAGGTTGATAATAAATTCGTTGTTGAAAAGAGTCTCTTCGCTGAATATTTTTTCATTATCTTTTGACTTTCAACGCAGCTAAGTTATGCTGTATATTATCCACTAGGCAACTAATATTTAGATCAAGAAATCAAGACGAACTGCCCTGTTGCGCCTCTTCCATGTGTATTCACCAGTCTAAATGCTTGTGTGAAGCCATTTATACCGGGCCTACTATCAGGCAAGTTCATAATGGAATTTCTGAAGGCCTCCCATCTTACTGGACATCAAGCTGACTCTAACAAAGCTTTTAAAGTTATTTATCAATCGAATTCTACCCAACCTTTCTTATGATTTACGAGTACAACTTTAATATATTCTTTTACGTTTCAAGTGGAAAATAGAGTGACTTCAAGCTAGCTAGAGTTTCTTTTGAAGTTTCGGTAGCAGAGGTGTTTATTTCTACACGATGGGGCTGTTAGCCTCATGCTCCCCCACCCAATCTTCCCTCTTTACCAGTCATAATACTGACTTAGTGAGGTGAAGGGGTACGCTGGCGGCCGGGGAATGAACACCGAACTATATGAGGCGTCATTAGCAAGTATTCCACCGCTATGTCCGACAGTGGGAAACGAGAAGACAGGGATATTCTGGACCGACGTGAAGAATCTAGAAGACCTACATTTCGCAGATGATTTATGTTTGATGTCACACAAAATCGAAGACTTACAAGCGAAAAACGACAAACTGGTCGAACAAGCAGCCAGAGAAGACAGGAATCCAGGTGAACATAGACAAGACGGAGGTTATGAAAATAACCAACCAACAACAACAACAACAACAGCAGCAACATCCACCGCCAATCACCATCAACGGGAGGGATTTGAAAGAGGTTACTTCATTCACTCGCTTATCTAGGGAGCATTGTCTCAACTACAGGAGGGACGGACGAGGATGTCAAACCGAGAATCGGGAAGGCGAGAAACACATTCATCAACCTGAAACTAATCTGGAAATCTTCGTCACTCAGCAGCACTCAACAACAAAATTCGGATTTTCAATACAAACGACGTCAAGTCAGTCAGTTCTTCTATACGTACGGATCAGAAACTTATCGGCGGGTCACAAAGAATATTTCCAACAGTCTGTTGCACACCTTTATCAACAACTGTCTTCGTTCTATCCTGAAAATCAGATGGCCGGAAAGAACAAGAACCAACAAGAAACTATGGGAATAAACAAAACAAGAACCAATCGCTCAACAAATATGCAGGAGAAAGTGGAGATGGATTGGACACTCGCTGGCGAGGAGGCCACTGGGTGACATCGCGCGTCAGGCCAGTGCTCGAGTGGAACCCTAAAGGGAAGCGGCGAGTGATTCGTCGCTGCAAGGGTGACATGGAGGAGATCGTGTGAAGGGGAGCTGAAACAGTATGGACTAACATGGATGCAGGTGAAAAGTACGGCAGAAGACAGAAACAAGTGGAGACGTGCATTTGAAGCCCTATGTTCCACTGGGAACCCAAGGGAACAATAATAAATAATAATAATCATGCCACCGACGAACACCTAAAACTAATGGACTAAAATAACCACTTGATTGGTAAAATTCCGATGTAAAAAAAAATTATATATATGTACATATATTTTTAGAGCCTTTGATGAGGAACTAATTGCAGTAAAGGAATGCATATTTCTTCGCCCAATCTTTTGCTTTTTCTAATTGCGTAAATGGTAATTTATGATTTTCACTACCGACGGAAAAGAAGAAGAAGCGAATTCCACATTCCACCTTTAAGATTAATGTGTAAGTGTAGAATCACGGTGGAACTGTGTGATAGAATGTAATTATTCTATAGTAGATAAGCTTATTTCAAATATTACACAGTGCTAATGCAGTATTAATAATAACTCGATTTTCAATATATTGATTGACCATATCAGTTAGAGAACCATTGAAAACCATCACTGGAGTACTGGACAGCTGTTTCATCCTAGTGCTTTTGGAAATCATCGGCAGTACGCACCCACCACAGAGGGTTCGTACCCAGGACTTTCCAGTTACAAGGCAAGCTAGCTCATATACCATTCAGCCACTGGGACCCGATTCAGTGGCCAGTGAATGAATTCTAACTTCTACCAATTCGTGATTTAGCGCGACCCCAAGCATTGTTGTTGGTGAAACATCCATTCACACACGTGACATGTAATTAAACCTCACTTGTCATGACTTCTCACTAGAAGTGCAGGAAACTCCATCCTGTAGCAAGTCACTAGCGAGCATCAGATTAATTTTCTATAGTTTGGTTTGTAAGGGCTAGTTATGTTTTACGAGAGGATCACGGATTGATATCAGTTAGAGAACCATTGAAAACATTCCAGGGAGTACTGGATAACTGTTTCATCCTAGTTTGGGAATCATCAAGAGTACGCACACACTGGAGTTCGAACCCAGGACCTTCAGGTTACGAGGCAAGCTCGTGTAACATTCAGCCACTGGGACCCACTTCAATGGCCAGCCCGTGTATTCTAACTTCCATTTCGTGATTTATCGTGATCACCAACCACTGTCATCGGCGGGAAATCCATCTTCGCACTCATGGGCCACTGAATCGGTTCTTGGAACCGGAAGGTCATGGGTTCGAACCCCAGTGGGTGCGTACTGCCGATGATTCCCAAAAACTAGGATGAAACAGCTGTACAGTACTCCAGTGGTGTTTTTCAATGGTTCTCTAACTGATATCAGTCCGTGGTCAAACTCGTAAAAACAAAACTAACTCTTACAAACCAAAATGTAGATTATCTGATTTGTCTAACCATAACTACTGTTGTATCAGTTACACTTGTCCAGCTTTGCAGTTATCGTGTTTTTGTCGTTCCTCAAGCTTTTTAGACCTCCTGATTTTTCAGTGGTGTTAGTGAACATTGTGTTCTGACTTGTTCAACGATGTTTTTGTCTATTTTACTTATTTATTATTATATTATTGTCATTACTGTTCCCTCGGGTTCCAAGTGGAGCATAGGACTTC